CACATGTTCAAAAGCCAGGGGCTAATGACAAGAAGACGAGCAAATGTTTGACATGCACAAGAATGTCATATGGTGAAAGATGGCAAAGAATTTACAAACTCTTGGCACTGTTTAGCTACACTCTCAGTTCCGTCAAATGTACATGAATCTGCATATGGCACACTTGACAATGTGGTGAGTAACATACACAGTGCTCACTGAAATGCTAGTAAAACAAGCTTGTTATACTCATTACACACCAGGAGGACAAGAAAGCAGCTGAAACACAACATCTATGCCAAAAATATAACATTTATCCCAAGGCTGAATGTAAGTTTTTACATTTTCTGATACATTTTATGTTACGGCTGAAAATGTGAGTAAGATGCATCTGCACACAGTGTTTAAACATGCGCGTGAAGCAGCACGAAATAAACTAAAGAAAGAGTCGACAACAGTCAGCCTAAATAAAATTATGAGAATTGAGATAATCGCAAATTCAGTTAATTTCAATTCAATTGTATCTATATAGCACAAAATCACACCAACAGTCTCCTTAAGGTACGTCATATTGTAGGGTAAAGACTCTACAATAAGACAGAGAAAAACCCAACAATCAAACAGTCTCCTCTGACCAAGCACTTGGCGACAGTGGGGAGGAAAAATACATTTGTTTGTATTTTAGCTTACTAATAAAGGTTTTACAAATGAGCTACACCTATAAAATCCTTAGTTTTTTTGGCTATGTGATGGTGTGATGACAGGGGACCGCTTATTAATAATATGAAACCTCATTCTGCAATTCTGCATGACTTTAATGCATCAGAATTAGCTGCTAACACCAAATGCTAGAGTTTATGTGCTAGAGTCAACATGGTAACAGTTAGCATGTTGTTACACTGCGAGTTTTAACATGATGGCCAGAAACTGTCTTGATGTCATCTGATTCGTGTTTGGATGGGAATGTCACTTAGCTCTGTTTTTATCCAGTAAATGGCACATCCTGACAGCTGATTGACGCCGGAGAAGCTACACTCAGCTCTCTATTTATTGCCTTTCTCAGTATTTAAAAAGCAGGTTTGCAAGTTGTTATTCGATGTATGGAAATCTGCAACTAGTGTTGGGATTATCATAGTTATACAATTATATTACACCATGAATTAAATTTAATCAGATGCATTTACCTTTGGCGAGAAAAATGAAACTCTTTGTACAGCGTTACTACATTAGAGTTTACAAAAGACTTACATACAGTGCAGGAGCACATTTTATTTTTGTTTTTAAACTAAAGCCAGACAACAAATGTGTTCCAACTAATTTGCAACACCATCAAGTGTAGGTCTTTGTTTCTAGATGTACTACATTAGTTTGGGAGTATACGTTTAACTGCTTCCCCCCTCAGATAGATTTATTGTTTTCCAGTTTTACAAGAAAAGGATGGATGCATTGTGAAATCAGCACTTTTAAACAAACCACAAACAGAACTCATTGCCCAGGGTTCTCACATACAACAGCGAAGATTACGACAATAATGTACAATCAGCCCTCTGTTATCGAGACCTTTCAAAAAAATGTGTTTTTTTAACTGCTACAGTAATTCAAATAAGTTATACGTTTAAATTTTGATAGCTGTTTTTGATTGGCCGCTCATTTTGCCTATGAAACCAATGAGCACTGCTCTAAGAAACCATGAATCTGTTCAGCCAACTATACCAAAGCAGGTAACCATCTGGTACCAAGTCTATTATTGTTAGAAATCAAACAATATTTTTTCCCTGATATCAGAAAAGACTCTAACATTTCTGTGCAGATGCTGTCAATACTAAATTCCTCCATATCAAACTTTAGAACACAGCTACGGCTTGTAGAAGCTAACCTGTACAGCTGACACAAATGTGCTAATGTAACCGGGTCATAAATTACATATTGTTATAATTACATAAAATGTGTTCGAAACCCCAAACTGTTCCTGGTACATCTGACTTTTAGGACCTCCAAGCCTGTAGTTATCTTCATTATTCTTCTCCTTTTCTTCTTCTTTGGTGCAACCCTATAAATTTGGGGTACCCCTTTGGGCTTTTCCCCTTTTCTTCGATTCCCCTGTGGGAGAGGTCAGTTTCATTTCTTTTCCAACACTAATTATATTTTTATCCACCCTGATGTTTCTGATTGTGTGTTTTTGGTTCATTATTGTCATAATTACGCCTGTCTTTTTTAGATGCTGTGAATATGTGGTACGTGTGTGCGGCGTATGTGTATAGGCAATGCTAATGCTAGCATGAACAGATAAGCCTTGCTAGCTTGTTAGTTGGCGTGGGTTGAGCTAACTCTCGTCCTATTTATATTTGGTTATAGGAGCTGAAGTGGGCACGTTTTTTACTTGGAGGTCTTTCAGTGTCAGACACAATGCAGGAACAGACCGGTTACACTACCACCTTAACTTTTAATGTCAGCTCAGGCTAATAAGACCTCTTTGTTTTTTAGTTTGACCCATTGGCTATGCTAAGTGGAAGCCATTTATTAGTCTCATCCACATTAGGACCAAATTTCATTACGTTTCCAAACTGACAGCCACAACACTGTCCGTGCGTGAAAAAGCAAATTTCATTCCAAGCTACAAGAGAAAAACTTACAGTCAGAAGAATCAGAGAAAAGCCAGCACACACCTTCAAGTACAGTACTCAGCAGGCCTGTTCAGTTATACATCGATTTTAAAGGTACAAAGAGGAAAAATCCCCTCCAACAAATCGCGTGATTGGTGAAAGCGTGTGTGTGTTTGCCCTGATAGAACCCCTATGCGAGTATTTTGAGACGATCTTATCACAGAGTCAGACAGAAATTCCTCCCTGTCTCTCTCCCTGTCATACACACACAACACACACAAGCAGCTGAACAGCACATTTCGTTGGAGTCACAGGGGGACGATCCCAGCAGATATAAGTCTACTAAACCTCCAGCAGAAACACTCTTTTTCAAGGCAGATCTGTTTGTTGTGGTTTAAAGGGAACGTTAACTGATTGAATGATAAAAGAGGCCAGGGCAAAGGTATGTATGGACCACACCCTGCTGTTGCACTTTTTTTTTAAAGCTGTGAGTACACAGCTGGTTTTTAAAGGAATGAAAAAAGATGCTAAAGTGCCAAAGCACATGTCCAATGCTTGTTTTTGTCCTAAAAAAAACACTGCAAGCTTTAGATGATATGCCAAAGGATTACCTGCACAATAAAAGAGATTAATTTGCACTCTTGAAAGATCTTACCAACATCAAGGGGTTTTTTCGGGGGGAGGTTGTGACAGCTACGCTCATTCTGATACATGTTTAAGTAGGCTTCGCGTTCAGCTCACTTCCTGTTATTCACCCAGCTTGTAGCTCAAAACAGGAGTCCTCTAACCTGTCAGAGCTAACAACAAAAGCTACATGCAGATTTCTTGGCTGCCTCTGTTTACCCAAGTCTCACTCCTACTCATGCCTCTTGGCCTCCGCTCTGGTTCTCGGCTCCAGAGTGCTGGGGTGGGGGGCAGGGGATCAGAGACCACACACACACACACACACACACACACACAAGCTAACTTGTCTATACATTCGACACACCACATGTTGTAAGGAAGCTGATACACTTCCATTCATATAGACAGGCAAACAATAGATGGTTCCCCCTCACTCATTACTCAGAAAGTCAAAAACTTGACATTTGATGGACTTCTGACCGAGTGTGGATGATTTGGGACACAGTCTTCTAAAATAAGTACACTTTCACAAATCAGATAAATTGTTTGAACTCAGAAAGTGTGCAGTGACTGTTAGTCATTGATAAACAACTGTGGATGACTTCTCCAAAACTATCCAAAAAGCAATCTTACACATTCATGATGGTGTAACAGAAAACTGATTTGTAGGGTGAATGCAGGTGGACAGTTTATATTATTTGCAATTAAAGCATCTTCTTGCTCGCATTTCAGCTCAAACTCTTCTGAGAGGGGTGACGTGTGCTTTGGGAGGACTGCCGACCTCAGTATTGCTAAAAAAGCTGGCTAAGGCTCTGCCCCTGGAAAACGCGCATAACAACTCAATAAACTGCTTCTGCTTCCAACATCAACTTTAACTAAAGGTCTCCAGTTAACTTCTGGGCACAACACCCCCCTCCTCCAAAAAGAAAATCCTCAGTGACTCCTCATAAAGGTCAACGATACCACGGCTACACTACGCAGACTTCATAGGTTGCCCATTCACCTTTCAACACCGTCCACAAGCGAGCTCGGGGAGGCTTGATCGAGTAGGTTTGTGGGTTTCTTCTAACACTGTGAGGACCTCTCCACCCGACCCCAGCACGTAAACAAATAAAGCTCCAGTTTCATCATCTAGAGGGGGCTGTTTCCTGTCCAAAGCAGCCCTGAGCCCCTTCTCCCCCTTTACTGCATACACACACGCGCGTCCGCGCACACACACAGAGCTCTACATCGCCGCCTCATCAGAGCCGCTCGGCTCCCCCGCCCCCAAAGTGCCAGCCTCTTTCCACTGCTCAATTGCAGAGAGGAATGAAGGGATTTGAGGGAAGAAAGAGGGAAAGAGGGGGATGGGTGGTTAGAGAGGCAAAAGGGGATTGAGAGTATGCACAGGGATCTTATTGCAGCTTCGTCGCAGTGAAATATTTTGCTGTGCAGAAAGCATAGACAGGGGAAAGAGAGACAGAAAGCCTACACTGCTGTGGCATCTAGATAGCGAGACCCCAGACCCCCACCGAGCCCTCCGTGCCTCTCTGACAATAGAAGCTTTATGCAGCGGAGTTTTCTGTTGCCTTTGCGGCCTTTGAAAACAGGGGAAAAGCACAACATAACACCACCAGCAAATATAATTTGGCTTTTATGTAAACATTCAGACGGGATGCCTGTCTCAAAAACTTTTTCCCCATTTGTGCTTCCAAACTTCATTGTGAGAACTTTTCCTTTCTTCAGAATCAGCTTTCTTCACCATGCACTGCAGGAAAAGCAAAAAAGCCAGCAGTTATTATGCAAGTTACTCACCTGTGTAGTCTCTTGGCATATTGAGAGGCGGATTGGAGAAGAGGGGTGGCGCAGTTTCAGTGTAAGACAGAGATGAGTCTGGGAAATGTAAGAAAAAGCAAAGGCATACAGTAGAAGTGTGAGATCCAGGTTAATTTTTTTTCCCCCAACTATGATTTTGGTAATCAAGCACTCCTTGAATCCTTTATCAAACAATAAAAATCTTCTCGTCATTAAAGCTCAAGCTTCGCTGATTTTTAGACTGTCGATAGGACACCTTGGACTTCCTTTGACAGTGCACAAAATGATTAATCAATCCGTTAATCTGAAAGCATAATTGTCAGATCAATGAAACAGGGGACTGTTTTATCATAACACAACACCATCATGTGTCTCTTTCAGCACAAGTGTCTTATATCAAATAAAGTCTGTATTTTCAGATGAAAGATATAATGAACTCCTTTCCTACTTTGTTTTGTGGTGGCCATTTTTTTTCCCAAACTCACCCAGTGGCTTGTGTTCATCTGAACGGGACAGAGAGTATGGAGGTGGAGGTGATTCTGTAAGAACAGCCAAAAAACACGAGGTTAAACTAAAGGTTCAATGAAGACTGCCACGCACAGTATGCACGGTTAGTTCATTACTGTTTTATTAATCATATCGTAAAGATGCATGAGGTCGACGAGGTTTTACGAGATGCACAATTATGCAAGGAGGCACACAAGAATGTAACATGCCGAACTCTGTCTGTCAGTTCAAAATTGAAGACATTTTGGTTAACACACCCCCCCCCCTAAAAAGAAAAAAATCTAGAGCCTACACTCACATAAAAAGTATTTTCTCCTCAGGGAAGTCTTTAAACATACCTGTTGTTATATCAAATGGTAACACATGCAAGACCTGAATGCAGCACTGCAGATCAACTTTACACTGTGTTATTTTTCATGGGAAAATATGTTCATAAGGCTGTGTGTGTCTGTAATTTCACTTTGTATCGACATACCTTCTACCCTAGATCAAGGAAAAAACTTAAAGCGTGGGGAATATTTGCACAGCTCATATCTTGGAATTCCTTTGGAGCTTTTTAAATAAATATGCTTAATCAACACGAGTCACATTGCATCAGACCCCCAGTTAAGTATTTCACCCTAGACAATATATTTGCGTCTTTATCTGATGCACTTTTAAAAGCCTTTGCTTCGTTTTTACCCCCTGTTACTTCTTCATTATCTTTCCGTTCTTTCATACAAGCTCTCATTATGACTTTTGTGTTAAAGCGGCTTTGAAAGCTCCATAATTCTGCTGCTGCTGGAATAAATCCTTCACTCCAAAGTGGACACAAGTTTGTGGCTGCGGCCCCTTTAAGAGCAGAGCCAGTAATTGCCGGAGTCCTCAGTCAGTCAGATACCCAGCGAGTCAGTCTGGCGCCAGCACTATGCAAACTGTATATTATCGGCACTCCTTAACCTAAATAACAAGAGGAGGACCTCCTTGTCAGAGGAAAAAGAGCCTAAGTGCAACTTGAGTGCGACCTCCATTTGGATGATGTGAGAAGCGCCAGAGTTTTTGCGAAAATTGAAATAAGCGTGTAACGTAATTGGAATGTGCAGAAGGACCAAAGTAATGGTTGCCCAAAGTTTAAAAAAAAAAAAAAGAGTTATGAATAGACCATAAACCTGTAAGACAGACGATAAAACACTAGAAGAAAAAACAGACTCGCACTGTCAGCTGGAAGTGCAGCCAGTTAGACGCCTGCAAATGCATGATGAGTTCATCTGTAATAACTGCAGGAAAAGAAATGCTCGACACTTTAACAATACTGACTTTCTTCTTCAGCTGCACGCCTCAGGCGAGCGATACATATTTGTTGGAATTCCCCATTATATTATGCTATTCGTTATACTGTAGTTATACAGGTCATCAATCTTTATATAGCATTAAATACACTTTTTTTTATTTGCATGAGACTAACTTTCTGCAAGGCCTATCAGCTTGGAGGGGATTCTGGGGGGGGGGGACCAGGAGCCCTCGTGAAGGTGTGTGTGATGGTTTCAGATAACTCAATCTCGAGGTTGGATATATTGTTGGATATTTCGGTGTTTAAGGCATTTATAATGGTCTTTTCTAAGGGATGATGTCTGATTAATGAGTTTGATCGATGTTCTCTGATTCCACAACCCCTATCTTCCGGTGTCAGTGTCCTTACCTGGCCCGCATAAGCGGCTGTAGTGATGAGGATTGCAGCACACCTTTGCGCTGTCCACCGCACCGAAGCTCTGGCAGTGGCACAGCGGTTTGAGTCGCGCTGAGAGCGGCAGGTCGCCCCAGCGGAACACCTTACAAAGGAGATAGTATGGAGAGATGTGATGAGCACCGAGCCGCAGCTCAGTATTCGGCACCATAACGCACTCGCCGGGTATCCCTCCTTTGGTCTCCACAGCCTTCACCAAGGCGTCCAGAGACCTCTCCTTGAGTCTCTTCAAAAAAGCGTGAGCGGTGCTCGCAAGGTCCTCCTCCAGCACCCCACGCCTCGGTGCGCACTGACAGGGGCCAGCTCCGTCTTTACTCGCGGCCCAGTAAGAGCTCCGAGGTCTGAAATCCCATTCCCCAAACAAACAACACGTCACCGTCCTGCTGTCGCTCTCCTGTCCTCGCCGAGAGCCTCTGTGCTCCGGGACGCACATGGCACCCCGGTCATCGTCGGGCTGTTCCTCGTCCTCTCTCTCCGCGCCCTCTGTCAGGTCTCCAGCCTCCCCCGTGAGTCCCGGAGCCGTGTCGGTGTGTGTCATCGACCGTTGCTCGTGTCTCTGGAGCTTACCCGAGTGTCTGCCCCACTCACCGTTCCGCTCTCCTTCACCTCGTCTGCTTCCATCCCGCCCGTCGCTCTCGGTGACCACACGGCTTCTCCAGAGTCGCCGTACAAGACCTGGGCGTCTCGACTTGAACATACGATAACCTAAACAGTTTCGGATGAGTCCCGTCGGTCCCGTCCGCTTCTCGGGAGATGCCACATCGATTTACACTCGACGCACAAGACCGTGAGTTTGTGCACGGTGCGCACAGCGTGCGCAGCCGGTGGTCACCGTTTCCAGGCTTCCTCGCAGCATTAGAAGGTAATGATCAATCACGCATCGCGTTAAACATCACCGAACATCTGATGAGGGAGAAGGCTACATGCAGTCACTGCTCAGTGACCTGCTGTCGCCAACTCAATTAAGCCACTTCTTTCGCCTGCCCTCTCACAAAGCCGTTAACTCCCCGACACTCTGAAGGTCCCACACACAATTCACAGAACATAGTCAGACCGCCCAAAAGGCCAGGATCAGCTTACATGAACAGAAAGACCATCACAATCAGAAACTCAGAACTTTTCCAGACTTTCCAGACTAGAGCCTCTTCGATCCCTTCGTGGTTCCTTGGCTTCGAAAAATAAATCCTTGCAACACTAAAATCTCGGTTTCTGTCGCTGTGTGGGATGCAGGAACTCCGCATCAGTGTCCCGGGACAAAGCAGAGATGATCGGACACTCCGGTGCCAAACTCCAGGACGGAATCCGTGCTGAGAAGTTGTTTTAAAGAGAGCTGGAATTACTCCACTCTCCACTCCCCTGCAGGAACTTTTCGGACGCACACACACAAACACACGCGTTCACACGTGCACACACGCTCCCGCAAACACACACGGACACAAGCTTCAGTCAAGTCAAACGGAATAAAACCTGGATTATCCAATGGTAACTTTTCAAAATAAAACCTACAGCAGTTAAAACGAGAAAGTTTGGGGG